AGAGAGAGAGAGAGAGACAGACAGAGGCAGAGACAGAGAGAGAGACAGAGAGAGAGACAGAGAGAGACAGAGAGGCAGAGAGAGAGAGAGAATATGTGTGTTAATAATGACTCTATCATTTGGAAGGGTGAGGACCAATGTAATTGAAAAACCATTTCTATAGTAGGGTCTTACAGTACTGCAATTGAAAGACCATTTATATATATATAATTAATTTCCAGAGGCTATGAACAGCAGAGCTCTCTGTGACCTCGGGGATCAGTGTGTCTTAGAGAAGGGTTAGCACTGTTGTGTCACCAGAGCTGGAGCTGGGTGGATACACTTTGTAAAGACAACACTGTGGTAAAGGCACTGTACAGTCTCATTGGACACCTTACATATAATTTGCACTAGATTTGACTATAAGTTATAGCTATAAGATCTTGCAAGAAAGTTGTGTTTATTTTAAGGAGTCCAAGAAGTTGAGAAATGAAAAAAATAGCTTCTTACAAGGAGTTATGCTTTATATTATGAAAACAATGAGGGTTCTCTACTCACAATTTTATAATCTGTGATGTCTGTGTTAAGTATTTGGTTGAAATTTTGTAATTCTTGTGTTGAGGAGAGAACTCACTCATTTGGTACAGTGCTTGTGCACGAGGGACCAAAATTCAGCCCTGGAATCTACTTAAAATACACAAACAAAACCAAAACCCTCCAAAACATCCAGTGAGGTGCTATGCTTTTGTAACCCTAGCCCTGGGGAGGCTGCCTCAGGCCAACCAGCCTTGCCTACCTGGTGAATTTTAGGCTGGTGAGAGACTCTTTCCAGAAGCTGGACAGCACTAAGTAAACCACACCCGGCTTTGTCTTCTTGCGCCTATGTGCATGCTTGCATGTTTGCATGAGTGTGCACATGTGTGTTTGCATACACATTCATACATGCACATATCCACACACAAATGTTTTGTAGTACCTTATTGGACTATAATTATGTTTAGAAGGATGTTTAAGTATAACGTAGTATACAATGGTATGGTATAAAGTGGAGTACATGATGAATTTTTGTGACTCTTTGAAATGACTGGGAGCACAGACTTAGGTTGTGCTTGGATTTGAACTTATGGCCTCTGGAGTGCTAGGTTGACACTTCTTACAGAACTATATCCTCAGCTAATTTTTGTGATTTCTTCCTTAGTTTTTGTTTCTTCTTCATACAGAGAGCACAGAAACATTTAATTTCTTCTATTTATTTTTTTGTCTTACTGACTCAGAAATTTCTCCATGTTTGTCCTCTTATGAAACACCCAAACTACCCGTGTTTGAACTAACAGCATGCTTAGTGGCTCTGATTTTGTCCTATATTTTGTTATCTGTACAAATTAGTGTAGCTCTTTCTCCCTTTATACTCTAAACAATATTTTCCTTATGTTCAAATAACCTTGAATGACTGATTAGAATCTTCTCTCTGTTTTAAAGGAGTAAATGAAATGTAGTTCACACCTGTGAATTCCCAAGTACTTGATTCTGTGTCTTCATTTTGCAGAAGAAGCTCATCTTATGTCTTAAATGAATGCTCACTAACGGTTGACACCCCCATGCTAGTGAAATCATCTTGATAAAGACTGACAACCCGCTTTCCCAATTTTCCCACTGTTAAAATTGTGGTAACTGTCACATTCTCCTGTTTCTCTTTATGAACCTGAAGATTGTTCTTCATCTGGCTAACCTTTGGCCTGACCTTTGAGCTTCCTTGAACTTCAGCTATTCACGTGACTAGAATAGCCAGCCCATGCTGTTTTCATGAATAAACTCGAGTGAGCGCTGTGCTGTGTCAGGAGACCCAGTCCTTAAAAGATTTCTGGCCTTCTGCTACACTGTGTTCTTTATACGGTATTTTAGAGTTTTTTTTTTTTTTGAGACAAATGAACACAATTTCAGAAAGCTAATACCCATTTAATATTTTAACCATTCAGATTATGCTTGGAGGTTTTCTGCAGTTCTATGAAATAATTTATTTAGAAATAGCCTGTGTTTAAATTATCGTTTTTCTGCTTAGGAAAATAAGTAGATGAGAAATTACCATGAAAGCTTCACTTAAAAACATACTTAAAAATTTTAACTTTTTGCATTGCCTTCTTTAATTTTAGGACTAAGAACCTCAGCAACGTCCACTAGCTTTTTTTGGCTTCAGATTTAAGAGGATTTGCATTACAGATGTGTTTTTAGCTCTTGAGCAGCAGATGGCAGTATTGCATCGTGTGCTCACTTAGTGGTGGCGTTATGACCCCTGAATGTGAATTTCATGCTACAAATGATCATCTAATAAAATGATTAGAAGTCATTAAGTTACCTAACATTTAATTTTTCTCTCTTTTTTAAAAATATTTTTGACAGTATTTATATAAGAACTTGGCAAATTGACCTTTTCAGAGGCAGTGTGAGCTCATGTTAATGTGTGATAACCCGGACATGGGCTGAGATCCTCTACTGGTCTTGGTCGCTCTCACTGCTTCTCCTAGAGTCTGGTTGTGGTCATCGTCTGTAGAAATATATTAAGGTGGGATTTTTTTAATCTGAGAAGAGTGCTTGTTACCTTATTACTCTATTACTTTCACACTTGTGTCACAGATCCCTTGGGGCCCTCATTATCCCTCGGACCTGCTTATGTGCTACAGCAGTCAGGCCTAAGAAACGGGGAGCAGAATGAGCTAAACGTCACCCTTTTCATTCCCTCACTCCCTCACAACCCATCGACACGGGGTTGATGGCTGATTTTCGAGGCTCAGAAGTTTGGTACAGTTTTATATACATTCTTTGGTGTGATTATGTTTACAACATCTTAAGAGCTTTTCTTGGTTGGAATTGTGCCTCAGCATCCTCTTCACTCGCCGAGGCGCTCTGCTCTCTAGGCCGCGGTTCCATGGCACTGCTGCCGTCAGCTTCTTTCTGCTTTGCGGAAACATTGACTCTTGCCCTGGTCCCACCTGAGGGTGATTTGCCCAGTCTTCCTTTGGTGAAGTCTTCCCATCTTACACAGCGTGGACATTTCAAAGACACCATTGTTCAGTAAGTCAGAGCAGCAGTTCCTAGCTCTCAACACTGTCATACTCTAAAACCCCGTGCTACCTTCCAGTAGCCTAATAGCTGAACAAGTGACACTATCTGTGTCAGTGTCCTTGGTAGGAATACTAGAATATTCTCATTCATTCTCTCTCTCTCTCTCCCTCTCTCTCTCTCTCTCCCTCTCTTTTGAGGCAGAGTTTCACTGTATAGCCCAGGTTCACTTGAAATGCATCATGTAGGCCAGGCTAGCCCTAAACTTATGGTGATCCTCCTGTGTTAGTCTCCCAAGTGCTGGGACTGGAAGTGATCCTCGGCCTCTGGCTGAGTAGGATTAAATAGACCAGAATAATCAATGTTTCTGTGTGTTTGAATTAGCAGCACAGAGTACCACTCACAAAACAAGGATATTTTTTAATGTTCATTATATATGAGTTAGTGATCTAGTCAAACTTACTTTTGAATGTGATGAATGGAATGCTTGTTTTCCAACTTTAAGACAGTGAGGAGTGAAGTGTATTTTAACAGTTGACTCAATGGTGTATGTGCACGAGAAAGCCCTGGAGCTTTCAGTAGAGTCCTCTTTAGCTGACTGTCAAGTCCAGTCAGCTTAGTCTTGACATGTCTGAGATAAGAGCCACACGCCATCACTCTTCCTGACATGGACACTTACAAATGGTATTGAATCAGAAATCCAGTTTAATCCATTCTTATTAAATTGGAAGCAGTAATTGCTTTCTATTTAATGGGATGGAATTGACTGTAGCAATTTTGATGGACCTTTAAACTTGATAAAATATGGTTAGCTATATTCCTGTTGGTTTGTGTGTGTTCCTGTGTGTTCATCCTTGTGTTCAAAAGTTGAATTATTTGCACTGGTTGGTGAAAGGTGTAGTAGAAAAGTGGGGCTAAGAATGGCATTTTCTCATTTTCCCCCTTTTTATTCCTCAGGGACTAAAACAGAAATAAATCTAAGGGCCTTCAGAATGGAATTTTCACTCACCACTCAGAAATAGGGGAAGGCGATTGTCTCTAGCGAAGACCTGGTGGGCGCAGAGCGGCCCCGAGAGGTGAAGGAGAGCTTTGGGAGTCACATCCTTCCAGCAGCTAGGCTTTTCTTTAGAGATCTCCAAGTCTCCATTTCCACGTCTGCTTCTGTGCTTGTAGCTGTGTGTTCTGTGAAATGGCGATGCTATGGACTGAAGATGTTCTGAATTATTTAATAGTCACTGTTGGGAGTGTAGTGCTCAATATATATATTTATTTATATCATTAGAAATGGACATGCTTTTCTGTATCTCCGTTTCTGCAGTTGCGGTGTTGGGTCTGACCTGGGCCTTTGTTCATGGCAGCCCCCGTGTCCCCAGCTCCAGAGCAGCACTCAACCAACCCTTTGGGCTCTGACTTTGTTCCTTTTGTGTTTTCAGTCACTGTCTTGCTACCTTATAAGGCTGCTCCGTTATGATAGCCTTTTAGTTGTGCTTTAAAAATTCATTCTCTGAAGAACCATTTGCTGATGGCAATTTGAATAAAATTTATCGTAATGAGTGATTCAATTGTAATATTTTTTTCTTTCCATTTGAGAGCTGAATTGTTAGTTAGCTTATTGAAATGAAGGAAATGAGAGACTGTTCTAGAGTAATATGTTCTGATTTCATAAAACTTTGGGAATTTATTGAAGAATATCAACCCAAAAGACAGTGAAAGTGTACATAGACTGACCGCCTCAATTGAAGACTCAAGCCCTTGAGTGGGAGTGTTCGAAGGTGGTCATCCGCAGTTCACTGGTAGCGTCTTGTGACTTAGGCGAGGTGTAAGACAGGTGAATTAATGGACGTTGAGATTCCCCTCCACCCACTAATGGAGAGACCATTTGTGGTTTTTAGTTGTGAGTCTCACTCCCCGTTCTTATATATGTATGGAAGAACTGTCTTGGATACAAGTTTTAATATTTTTAAATGTAAATATCTTTCTGATGCAGTTAGTGTTTGTATGGTCATGTAATAATTTAAGCGTAAGCACCATTTCCTTGGCACATGTATAATAAGTAACACTGTAAAAACAATAAAACTATTTCTCAAAATTGTGTATAGAGATGTGCATTGCTTATAACAGGGTTCTTATGATTATATGGTTATATAATTTTAATGAATTAATTTGGGAATTTGAAAACTAGTATGCTGATTCAGCAATGAGTGGCTCAGGGACTTATGGGTCTCAGTCATTAAAGTTTTCTCTGCTACTTTAAGGGAGGAGTCCAACCAATGGAACTGAAGTCCAGACCAACAGGAGCTTCTGCAATACATTTAAATACCTAAAAATTTAAATACTTACATGTAAAGATACATAGTTGATGTATTGATTAAATGTAACTTATGTAAGTTAACAGCTGGTAGCTTGATTTGCCTCCTCTGTTGTGCTTGTGTTCATTCAGGACGTTTTGTTCACCTTTGCGCAGTTCCAAAAATCCCCAAAAGATGGCACTATTGACCTGTGTTAGCATTTTCATTTGCCTTTTTTGATGAAAAAAAAGTGTTGGATGTCTTATCTGCAAATGTCTTAAATTGAGGTTATATTTTTTTACATTTAATTTTCTGTTTTGTAAATGGATCCTTAATTCATGTAAGGCTTGCAGGGACCAGATTTCATTTTTATTTTGAAATGGTTTGGAAATTCGGTTATTTAACAATCATGTTGTAGACATAAACTATATAATCCAATATAATTAATGATAAAACCTTGTCTTAATGTGACAGCTAATGTTTCATGGGAAGCATAGTTGCTGTTGTATAGCCAAAACCATTAATTTTTTGAAGTCTCTCGAACAGTCGAGTGATTAAAACATAGCAGACATAAATAAACAGTTTGTGTGGCTTTCAGGTCACACCACTCTGGCTTATCCATTTTGGAAAGTCATTTTATATTAACAGCACTTTTGAAAATTTAGCAAAACCTTTCACTGTTTCTGTGTCCTCTGGCAGTAATGTGATAGAAGGAGATCTATGAATAGCTTTTCAAGGTGAGAAATACAAAATTAGACAGCGCGCCTCTGACTTGATGGTAGGCTTCTTTAAACAGCAGTGTGGTTGAATCCATCACCATGCAGGTGAACACCTTCTGACTGAGGAGTCAGTATCTTGAAAAAAGAATTATTTTTAAATTGTGTGTGTGTGTGTGAGAGAGAGAGAGAGAGAGAGTGAGTGTGTGTGAGTGTGTGTGTGCACGAGTGTGCAGGTGACTGCAGATGCCAGAAGCACCAGATAGCCTAGAGCTGGAATTGGAGGCAGTTGTGAGCCTGCCTGGTGCAAGTGCTGGGAACGTAACCCAGGTTCTCTGCAAGAGCAGAATGTGCTCTTAGATGCTGCGTTGTTTCTCCAGCCCTGATAACTCACATGCGACCCAAGTGTGATTATACAGGTGGGATGATCTTATGTCCAGTCTTATGTCTGCGGTTCTGTTCAGCTTGTACAAAGCCAGGGATTTGTACTGGAAGTAAGAAAGCATGGACTACTTACTCTGCTTTTTTGTGAGATGGGTGGTCATTGTTTTGGGAGTTAGGTCAGAAGTGCAGGACCTTTCAGGTGCCTTTTACTGTTTTTTATTGAAATTGTTTTGACTCTGCATCAGTTTTACATTTCAACTTTTGTGTTTTTCTCCCCAAATCATCTTTTTAAAGGGTAGTATGTCTTAAGAAAGATTTTGCACCTGATTCTATTAGAAACCCATACTTAGTACCCTGGCATGATAGTCTTGCTTACCCCCTACGTGTTGTAGTTTTAGGAGTGACGATGCCTCTGACTGTGAGAGCTTTGTTTTTATGTTCATGGGAACCAATATGTACTTCTATGTAAACCTTCTTTCTTCTTGCTGTCTTTGTTGATGCCAGTAACATGATGCACATGTGATTTGTCTGAATTGCTTTGAAATGCACAGTTAAGGGAGAGGTTAGTTACTTAGCAGCAGTTACAGTGGGAACTGATTGACAGCCATCTAGAGATTCTCCTCTAGGATTTAACAGTGGTCCTGTGAGCTGGGTATAGCCTGAAAAATAAAACGATTACATTCTGACATGACTGCTTTAGAGGACATGATCTAGGCTTACTGTGTAGCATAATCAGTCTGTAATTATTTAACATGAGTCTAGTCTGTTCATCTTTTCTTAGAGATGGAAAACTGTGGACTTGCTAAATAACAAAGGGTTATTTTCCTACTTGACTTTATGTTTTCAGATTCTTATAGGACAAAGAGAAGTAAAAAAATGCAATGAGTTATTTTTTTTAAGCTCTTTATTCCTAAACAAATGGGCAAAATCAGCCAAGTGTCCAAAACATGTGTTTACTAAATTTCTTCCACCCATCTCTGTCCACACACTCAAGCTCTCTAGATTCTAGTATGTATCTCAGGGTAGGAGTGGAAGTAGTCTAAGGTGGTATAGGACCAGCAATACTTCCTTAAATCCTCCAATCAAACAACGTTCTATATTCGTTGCGATTAGAAGACCAACCGTGCAGGGTTTTGCCTGACTTCGGCGCCTGTCTCATAATAATGTGCTAATTTATGCTGATGATCTCCCCTCATGACCCTTCTGTGTGGCCTAGATATGTTAATATGTTATAGCTTTTTAATTTCAATCATCCGTGTTGGTTGAATCTGCTTGTTAGTGCCCACTATCACTCATACTAGTCTGTGTCAAGGCCTGCTAGAGGACAAGAAAAATGTATCTCAGAATCAATTTCTTTAAGCATGCATTAGTAATGGAAGAAATTATAAGATAGACATAATTTTAATAAGACTGTTATGTTCGAACATTCATTGCAAATAGTAAGTACTCTTACTGCCGTCAGCTTTTAATTAGGAAAGGGAGTTGGGCCATTGGCTTTATTAAGCAAGGACTTTTGAACATCTTTTGATATTTTTTTAATGTCAGTGAGAAAGTGTCATAAGACTGAGAAGCAGGCATCACAGTCAGTTTTAATGAAGTTAGAGCCTTGGCTATGCCTTAAGTGGTAAGAGTTGTAGACCTAATGATTCCCATGGAGAAGAACACTGCACACAGTGTATGGTGGGGAAATTGAGGACTTTATGTAGAAAAAGGATGAGACCAACTAGGGCCTAAAGGAGAACCCAAATAATTTATCTGTTAAAGTAAAAATTGAGTATAATAAACTTACAGACCTTAAATATAATGTCTTTTCACAGAATATTTTTATCTTTATTATTGAAAATCCACCTAGGATATTTCCCCCTTGTATTTAGTTCTTTATATGAAAGGTACAGTAACTGCCTTAGTTCTGTCTTAAAACCGTCCCCCTCCCCAGCATTTGATCAAGTATTGCTCGTAAGGATACTGATGAACTCAGATGCCAATAAAACCTGGAGAATGTTTTCGTAAAAATTACTCAATGATGAAATTTGCCATTTTATGTAATGTTTTAAGTTTGAGTACCTGTCATGCACTTGCCATGCTAATAAAAATTATTTAAACATGTATTTAATCGACTTTGACCTATTTAGATGCATTTTAGTTGCTTGTGTTTCTTTCCTGTGTATCTTTCTCTGTGTGGGTGTTAATTAGGAAGCAAGGGACGCATGATGGCTTCTTTTGGTCACCAGTGAGTCAGAAGGCAGTGATTTGAGGGGACGACTTGTGGGATTAGGTGTCATAGTTTATGGCTGATAGTCGGTGAACTTCCTCATCTTTTCTCAGGTTTTTAATTCTCACAGATGAATCATGTAGACTGTGGCAGGAGTGAGAGGCCCAGGATGGCTCTTCCCACACATTGTGTCACTCTGCCTGGGGTGAAGCCCTTCGTTAGAACTGTCAGGTGCGGAGCCCTGCTGGAACTTTCTTTCTGTACCTTCCCTGTCCTGTCCCACCCAGACCCACTCAGGCCGTCCCTTATCAGTGCTGTGGCCTGCGCTCTCTGCTTTCCCCACCTACTAGATCCCGCTGCAGGCGTTCATGCATTGCTTCTAACTAGGTAGATCCTACGCACAGTCTTTCCCTTTTGTATTCATAGCACCTACCAAACTTCTGCTTACAATAAGCACTTGATTAGGATCTTTAATGAGTTTATATCAATATTCATACAATTTTATGGGAACCGAATGAAGCTTGTTATATAGGTGTTTTCTCATTTGTGCTGTTCTTGTTCGTTGTTGTTAGATACAGAATGGGGGATGACTTGTTACTACCTGAACAAATGTAATTTAGTGTTTTTGTAGTTTGCAGTTCTTAAGTTTTTAAGACCCTTTCTTTGAGCCCAAAGTAAATGGTTTTGTTATTACTTCTTAGATGTTGTGATTCATAGGCATTGTAAGTATAGATTTCATGCTCAAAGTGACTGAATGAAAAGGCGCATTGTTCTTTGTTGGTTTCCTCAATTGCTTCTTTTCATCTTCCTGTACTGACTCCTGGAGGCGTCTGGCCAGTGCTGGTGTTTCTTCCTGATTCATCATTCCTTCTGCACCTGCCAAGCAAATGCTTTTACTCTGGTCAGGCATATTTTAGTGAGTTAGGCTTTATTATTGGTGTAGTCATGGACCACCTGATAAATCCATCCCTGTCACCCGAATGCGTGATGACCGCAGTCTCCAGGATGTTCAGACTGGGGCTGTGCTGCTTTCGTTCTACTGATGTCCTTGAGTGTGGAAAATCCCTTTTTCTGAATGTGAAACTAACCACCGAGTACATTCTTCACCCATGATTGTTTTTGTGTGGTCTAAGTTTCTAGAAAGAGTGTTATATTGAGCTTAAGTATGTGTGTAGGTGGGAGGATAAAAAAGCAAAAACATAGTGTTAGATCGTACAGGGATGACCGACTTACCCTGTGGCCTTAGTGATGCCGTTTAATCTTCCTGGACCACAGGTTATTCATAAATAAGATGAAGGAGGTGAACTCTAGTGCTCTCGGACTCTTTATAGATTCATTTATTCATTAGATATGCATCACACGCCTGCTATGTTGTGTATTCAACTAAGGAGACAGATCTGTTCTCACCCTGGCAAGAAGACTTCCATTTCCTCTCTCTCTGTCCACCTGCCCTTCTCCCTGTTTGCTTATCTGGTCATTGGGTAGATAA